CGTTAACAACAGCCTGTAACCAAAATATATATATATTTATAAATATTTATGTATGTATATATATATATATATATATATATATATATATATATATATATAATATGTACATTTGGTGAAAGTTTAGAAAAAATCTGAAGGTCTGATTTTGTCAAAAAACTCTTCATGTTTAGTGCTAATGACCATATAAACGGTTTTTTTATAAACAAAAACTTAATTAATCATCTAGGGCCTGTCAAAATTTCAATCAATCAATCCTTGTTTACAGTTTCCATCCGTTTTGGGTCAGACTTTTTTATTTTATTCATCAGCTTCTGTCTCAAAGTCGATCTATCCATTGGATCTCCCTGTCAGGATCTGTTCTGGTAACCACCTATTGAAATGCACAACTGTCTTCTCAATGACTTTTTCAATAACTTTCAGGGGGTGTTCCAGAAGACGTATACCCCGATATGAGGAGCATTTCAGTGGGTCTTTTTTTCCTTTATATATTGGCACAGTTGTGTTACTGTTCAAATCTACTGGTTATATCGATTTACTCCACATCTCCTGACAGATGTGTAAGAGGGCTTGGAAGCCTGCCCCACCAGATGCTTGATGATGTCATTTGTAAGTCCAGATGGACCAGCCGCTTTACCCCCTTCATTGTCTTCAGTGCATCTGTAAGCTCCTCAGCTGTGATGCCATCAATCGGTCCTTCCACTGGATGTGCCTCAAAGTCCATTCAAATAGGGTTTGTTTCATTCAATAACTGATCGAAGTTATCCTTCCAGTGATCCTTCACTTCACTCTGCAAGGTTATTATGGTGCCTTTATTATTCTTTATTGCACCGTCTCGTTCCACCACCAAGTTTCGTGGTTGTGCTGGCGTTTTGGTTCAGATTTTCCACATACAGCTGTTGCAGCGTTCACTAAGGTGTTCTGAAAAGACTTCCAGTTTATGTCAATCTTCTTCAAACGATTCAGCTGTGCCGATACCAATTTCTCGAATTTTTCCCTGAACATGAAGTTCTTCAGTTTCCAAGTCTTTATTTTAGTAGGCATTCGATCAATCACAGGGCGTGATTGTTCCATGATCATATCGGCTACCGACAATCAGTGTTGAGAAAAGCATGCTTTGTCTGGAATGACTTTGGCATTTCTGAATAGTCGTCTGTGGTGTTGTCTGACTACAATAAAGTCAATTTTTGTGCATGACATTCCGCTTTTATATATGATCAAATGTTTTGCCCTCTTCTTGAAGTAGATGTTCAAAAAGGAGAGTTCATGGTTTTCAGCAAATTCCAGAATCCGTACACCGTCTTCGTTTTGAGAGCCGTAGCCAAAGCCTCCAGTGACACCGTGGAACCCATTTGCTTTATCTCCAACATGGCCGTTGAGGTTGTCACATATCAATGGTATCTCTGATGATGGTGTTTTCCTGATGGCACCTGAGAGTGTGTTCCAGAAGTCATTCTTGGGGTCTTCAGATTTACTGGTCTGTGGTGCATATGCAGAGAAAACAGTCAGAACCTGTTTTCCCATTCTGAGTTTAATCAGCATTAGAGGTAAACTGATTCGAGTCACCTCCAGTACATTTTGTGCCAGTGATTCCCGTATGAAGATTCCCACTCCATTTTGGGCTGTCTTTTGGCCATTCCAGAACAAATTATAACTCTCAATGAGAGAGACACCATTTGATTCCCATCTTCTTTCCCCTGTCAAAATTTTGAGGTTTATTAATCACAAATCCATGAATGTACGGTGCAAATTGTATCAATTTCTGAAGCGTAGTTATTTTTGTAAAAATTTTTCAAAGATTTAGTGCAAAACATTTGGAAAATTGTTTTTACTGAATACAAACAAAAACACACGTTTAGACGACATTTTCCCCGAGATCGGGGGTTGCCGTTTGGCTACCTATAATGAAACCGAAATACCCCTCGACGCCATCCACATCTGTCACTCGCCTCAGTATCACGCAACCCCGCTTTCACCCTGTCCTTCTCCACCTGCTCTCTCCATCCCAATCGCGGACGGCCCCTTCCTACCACTCCTTCAACCTCGAACTCGTCCTTGCGTCTGTCCTATTAATCACACCATGAACACATTTCTTACATTTGAACGTGCCTTCCACCTTTTTCAGTGCCCCACTCACACCACTACATCTCTTATGCACCCATTTCTGACATCCTATACACAATACCGAGTTAGCCTTCTCTCTCCTGTCACATACCCCACAGGGGTCTTTTTTACTTATCACTCGCTCCCCACCTTCCCCACTCACCATTACCTTCGTCTTACCAATATTAACTTTTAACCCTTTCTTTTCAATAACACTTTTCCATCTGTCTAATTTTAACTGCAATTCTTCCATGCTATTAGCCATCAAGACTAAATCATCTGCATACAAAATCTCAAATAACAACCCCTCCATTATGTTTCCACACACAACATCCATCACAATTGCAAACAGAAATGGTGATAACACTGATCCTTGATGCACTCCTACCTTAACACTAAAAGCGTCCGACATCCCCCTTCCAACCCTCACCTTTGTTTTTGCCCCTTCATACAGCTGCATCACAGCTTTAACAAATCTCTCATTCACTCCTTTCTTCTTCAACGCCCATTCAATGACCTTCCTCGGTACTCGATCAAAAGCCTTTACTAGATCCACAAAACACATGTACAATCTTCGTTTCTTCTTTCTATAATTCTCCTGCAACATTCTCACCATGAACAACGCATCCACCGTTCCCCTACCAGGCATAAACCCACACTGCATTTCATTAACTGTCACCATATTTCTCAACCTCCTCTCAAGCACCCTCTCCACTACCTTCATTCCGTGCTCTAGCAATTTCACACCCCTATATGATCCACAATCTCTCACATCTCCTTTGCCCTTATACAACGGCACCAACACACTGTGTCACCAATCCTCAGGTATACCTTCATCATCAAACATACTGTTAGCAATTCTCATCATAACTTCAATTCCTATCACCCCACTCGCTTTTATATGTTCTGACGCCACTTCCGAAACCCCTGTCGCCTTACCTAGTTTCATTTCTCTAACTGCTTTCTCTACTTCCTCCATCGTCACCTTCTCTATAGGTCCGTGTGTGACCGCGGATTCCACATCTCCATCTCACTCATTCTCTTCATTCATCAACCTTTCCATATGAGCTATCCACACCTGAGCTTTTTCCTCCTCATCTATGCACAACTTGCCAGATCCATCCCAAACACATCCATTCCCTATAACATCTTTCCTATCCCTCATTGACTGCTTTACTACTTTGAACATTTTCCTCGAACTCACATCAAATTCCATTTCCTTCATTAACCTGTCTGATGCTTTCGTCATTGCAGTTGCCACTGCCTGTTTTGCAACCTTCTTAGCCTTCCTATACTCAGACTCCGCTTCCTCCGTCATGTCCCTTCTCCATACCCTAAAGCTCTCCTTCTTGACCTCCAAAACCCTTCTTATATCTTCATCCCACCACCACGTCTCACCATGCCTACACTTTCCTTTCGTCCATCCACATACTTTATCTGCCGTAGCCAACACACAGTCCCTGTATCTCTCCCAAACATCTCCATCCTTACCACTCTCCCAATTTTCAGCCACCTTCACTTCAAATGCCTTCCTCACCTCTGCATCCTGCAACTTCCATGTCTTTCTCTTTGTCACAAACTTATCCTTCTTCCTCCTCCCCATTTCTTTTGATGTCACATCCATCACAACCATACTATGCTGCAGCATACCAGGTATCGCCTTCACATTCTTCACATACTTCCTATGTTTGGCCCTCACCAATATATAGTCTATCATTGACCTATGCTCTCCTGACCTATATGTAATCAATTGCGCTGGTTTCCTTGTAAACCAGGTATTCCCCACCATCATGCTATGTGCATCCGCCAACTCCAACACTCTACGCCCTTCCTCATTCCGTATACCATATCCCCACCCCCCATGTACACCTTCATATCCGTCTGCATCCGCCCCCACATGACCATTCAAATCACCCAACAACACCACAAACTCATCCAACCCCGCTTGCCCAATCTCGTCAGAAACATCATCATAAAACCTATCCTTCTCCTCTTCTTTCCTACTTTGTTGCGGAGCATATCCTGATATCACCCTCACTATTACTTTTCCAAACACCATCACCACCACAATTACACCATTGCTTCTCCGCCTCACTTCCAACACCTTCTCCACCAACTCTTCTCTTACCATCACACCAACTCCTCCCGTACCATCATCCCCCTTCCACCACAACTTATATCTTCCACCTTTAGCGCGCACAAACCTTGTACCCTCACCCTTCCATCTGATCTCCTGTAATGCAGCCACGTCAACCATTCTCCTCTGCAGCTCCTCCACCACTTCCAAACTTCTTCCTGTCAACGTGCCTACATTCCAGGTACCAAACCTCCAACCCCTTGGCCCTTGGTCTACAAGTAGTCCTTCCATCTATAGTGCCTTGCACCGCCACACTATAGAGTGGGGTGCCAGTAGCCAGACCATCCACAACCCCATGGACTGGGTCTCCGGAGATTCTTCGCACCCTCTTCTGCCGGATACTGAGGGCCATTGTTATTTCCGTCATCATAAGTATTATTTTTTGGCTAGTTTTTACGCAGGACGCCCTTCATTACGCAACCACAGTTATAAGTGGTGGGCCTAACCTTTGATGATCCAACATCACTCACAAGGCAGTGAGGGTCAGTTTAATGTCATAACCAGGACATCTGAATACAAATTTAACTAATCATCTAAAGTGTGTCAGTTTTCAAGATTGGTATAATAATGGTATTATGAATATAGGGTTGAAATTTGAATTAATTCTGAAGTGTTTTTTTTGTAAATAAACTTTAAATTTATTCTAGCTAAGGGTTTTTTCAGCCAAGAATTCAGTATGAGAGTTAAATGATAAAACCCAATTAACTCACAAAGTAATAATCAAAGGCCTGTTAAATTTTCAGGGTTTATTAAAAGCTTATACATTTGGCAAAAATCCATGTGTGTACTGTGCAGATTGGATCAATCTCTGATGCTTAGTTTTTTTTGTATAATATTTTCAAATATTTAATTCAAAGAACATGGAAAATAGTTTTTACTGGATAAATATTTAACTAATCATCTAGGGCATATCAATTTTCAAGGTTGTTACAGTTTTGGCTCTGTCTAAACTAAACTAAATGTCTACAAAAGAGAACATTAAAAAATTGATGTTATGTTGGTAAAACAAAATGCTTTTTTTTAATTGAATTTATCAGTTTTTAATGTTTTTAAAACATAAATAGGGGTTTTAACGTAGGGGTTTTAATGAAACGTATATTTGTTTTGCTCTGTCTGAATGTTTATAGATTTTTGTCTTTTAACTTCAAGTTTTTTCTAGTTTTCCCAGTCACTGTTTTTCATCTATTGTTCTTACAAATACATTTTTTTTTATTATTATTATTATTATTGACTCATATTGCACGTTTAAAACCTACAGTTATGGACAATGTACCTGAAAAGGACAACTTACTAATCAGATTTGGTGTGATATCTGATCTTCATTATGCTGATCATGATCCTCATCCAAACTTTGAAAAGACTTATTTAAGACACTATAGGAGATCATTACAATTTTTGCAAAATGCTGTGAAAGCCTGGGAATTAGATAAAGTTGGTTTTGTCATTGATCTGGGTGACGTCATCGATGGCAAAAATGTTGCCATTAAACAAAGCTTGCAAGCTTTTGAAAAAATTTTGAATGTTTACAAAAGCCTAAATGTTCCTGATTTGCATGTTGTTGGAAATCATGAATTGTATAATTTTTCAAGATCAGATTTATTGAAAATGAATGCCTTCCAATGCAAACATTCTTGTTTAAATGGGTTTAATAATTTTGACAATAGTGGTTTTATGTATTATTGTTATGAACCGCATCCGAGTGTTAAATGTATTGTACTTGATATGTATGAAATTAGTTTACTTGGGAATGACGTGAACTCACCTGAATACAAACAAGCACTCGGCATTCTTTCAATCAACCCCAATCAAGATTTGAATTCTGCTTTTGGATTGGAGGGTACAGATGAAAGATTTGTCAAGTACAATGGAGGTATATCAAAGGCACAACTTCAGTGGCTGGACGTGGTGCTAGAAGATTCTGAAAAGAAAAAACAAATGGTCATTATGTTTGGTCATTGTCCCTTGCAAAGTAATTATCCTATGACGTTGTGCTGGAATTATGATGAAATATTAGCAGTGATGCATCAACACAAATGTGTTCAGGCATATTGTTGTGGACATGCTCATGAATACTATTACACGATGGACTCCAAAGGAATACATCATCTTACTCTTCCTGGAGTTATTAAGCTGCCCACTGAAATTTCTAGCGGTCATTTAACAGTAGATGTTTACAACGACAAATTGGTTGTCTATAATTTAGGAAATTTGCTAGGCAATTCTCATGATGGGCAAATAGTGTTGCCATTTTAATGTATATTATCTATATAGGCTTTAACTTTTAAACAACTTTTTCTACTGTTGAATTTGTATTTATTATACCTAATTTTTGCTGGCATTTCAATTGAATTTCTGTGATATGTAGCTTATTAAATATTGAAACATTTTGTTTCATTTGAATATAATCAACTTAACGTATTAGCACGAACACGATGATATTTGTACAGTAGTTATGTTAATAACACTTCTACATCTAGTTGTGGTGGTTTGTCTGACTTTAATTGGTCTTTTCCATTTTGAAAGTTTTAATTTGCATTGTTAACATTAGTGAAGTTTTCCTTGCGACCATTTCTTCATCTATAAAATGAGGCTGTCATTTTAAATGAAAATGATTTTTATACTCTAAAAACTCCTTACTCTGACCCCGGAAAGTTTTAAGAATTTTCATTTTAAAAATATCTTTAGATCATGTTTTGTGTGTGTGTGTGTTTAACACTAAAATAAATGTTACTAAGTGATTAAAATCACAATTTTTTTTCAGAGTGTTTTAAAAATTATTATACAAGTAATTTTACCGAGAAAAACAATTACATTGACTGGTTTTAACTGTTTTTTTTAAGTATTTACCATTTAGTAGTGGCGTAGTAAATGTATGATGTAAATAGTGTAAAAAGTAAATGTATGATGCTAAAGTTGGACAATTTTTCTGATAATCGGAGCTCGCAGTTGGAAAGTTATCGATCAAAGAGTGTGGGTCAAAAAATTATAAAGAATTATATTCGAATAAATTTAAGGATTTATGTCCGTAGCATTGTTATACAAACTACATGTTGAGTTAATTTATTTAATTCGAAATTTGGTGTTTTCAGCTCTGATTTTCAAAAAAATATTCTTACTTTTACTGTTGTTATTTAACAAAAAAGTCTCTGTTCATTTTTTACGAAATGAAGCCTTTTTCTTTATGTCTGTTTGAAAAATTTTATTAAATTGTATAATGACGAACAGAAATTTTAATTGATTTTCACAGTTAAAATAGAATTATTGAAAGGAAAATATATCTCATATATGTCCTGGCTATAATAGAATTTGTTCATTGTGTTTGGCCACCGCACCAAAAACATATAAATATTGTTCGTTGAGCATTATTAACATAAATACGGTCGGATATCCGTTTAAAAAATTTGTTGGTTCCAAGGAAAAGAATTTGTTCGTGAAAAATTCTCTTGTCAAAAAGGTTTTTAAAAGCAAGAAAATAAAATTTTTTTAAGTGAAATTTGTTTTTTGTTCCATACAACGATGATTCCGATTCCATTAAAATTAAGGTAAAAATCGCAAAAGTTGCAAGAACAATAGAACAAGAAACAATAAATATGGTTCTAAAAAATTAAAGGAGTAAAAAAACACCGCTCACATGTCAATCGAAACATATACATACACAAACATATATATATGTGTATATATATATATGTTGGTAATAGACCATAATTCTTACAATATTCTATAAATTCTACCGAATGTTTGGCGTTAATATGTTTGTAGTTCGTTTTTTCAATTTTTCTCACTAAAGTTTATGCATTTCTTGAGATCATCTTTTATACCGTGTGCACAAACATTAAAATGTATAATAATAACCTTGATTATAGAATAGTTAAATCAATTGAATTTTCATTATTATGAAGATAAGCGTATCAATTACTTGAACACTAAAATTGTACTGTATGAAGGTCACTCCTATATATATAATATTTGTTTTCGTGATGGTGAATATTTTATTCAAAGTAAATAGGATGTTAAATAACTGAACAGAAAATATTAATAAAATTTAGAAATTGAAAATTTTGAAAAATATGGAAACTAAAAATTGATTGATTACTTGATTGATTTTTTTATTATTTGATTGATTGCTTGTTATATAGTTTATTTGGTACATTTTAAAGATTAAATTAAAATTTTGATTGATTTTTTGGGCAGAATAATTTTTCATTTTGGTACGTTATCTCATAATTTTATCGTTAATTCTGTTTATCAATTCGATAGGTTCGAGTGCTTGCTATTTAAATGTTTTCAATAGTTTTTGTTTATTAAATTTTTTTTATGTTATTTCGTTCTATTTTATTATATTTGTACATCTTCATAATTGTTTGTTTTGCAAATTTGGGTTGAACCCGGTTGACTCTTTAGAAATTGGATTATATAAATTTGATTGATTGACCGATTGATTACTTTTTCATTGTTTTTACGGCTTGTAATTGTCGTTGGCAATACATATAGAATGAAACACATAGGCCTTTGTTTTATGAAAAACATCTCTGAGAGTTGTAAGAGGTAATTAGCATATGTGCGGCTAGTAACTAGCATATTATATATACGTTTCATTAAGTTACCGGAAGCAATTATTATAATGAGAGATACTCGATAGGGCAATTCTAGTTAAAAATTTCATAGTATACGCTCGATACGTAGAATTAAGTTTACGTAGATTTTTTTATAAAACTTTTAAATACATGCATAGACCTGTATAATTATGCCACGTTCATTTTTTTCCCATTTTAATGTTTAAATTATAAAGAACACTTTTTTATAAATCATTTTAGAAATTGTTTTTAACCGTTTCATAATGTTTCATCTATGTATTTTCGTACACCGCTTTAATCTCAAACCCGTATATATACACTCTGTGACGAGACGAACGTTTCATTCGTTCCGAAATTTCTCGAGGGCGTCTTTTTATGTGGTGTGTTTGTTTCATTTTAAGTTTTATGATTTCTGTCCTGCTTTTTAATTTTTAAAGTTAAACTTTGTTAGACGACTTCTAGTTTGGTTTATTTATTAATTTTATAATAATTATATTTGTTATAGAATTATTATAATAATTATATATTATTTAAATATTTATTAACTATTATTAAGTTAATTTTTTTAAGTTAACTTAAAAGTCTTAAGTAATTAAAAATGAAAGTTACTCTAAGAGTAACTTTTTATGTTGTAATTTATAACATCAAAACAAAAGAAAAGACCTTTGTGGCATTCTGTCATTTTTTAAAATTTAAGTTAGGGCTAGATTTGGTTTGGTGAAGTTTCTAATATCATTTAGTTTAGTCAATAATAAGTCAATTATTATTGTAGTACAAAAATGTTCTTGACATTTTTTTCAGAAAATTAGTAAAATTTAATTAAAATAATAGCCTTTTTTATAGGTAAACTTTTTTACCAATTGGGAAACGATTTGAAAATTAGAAAAAACATGAATATTTATTTTTATTAGATTAGCATTAGATTAGTTATTAGTATTAGTTGAAAGATTAAACAGTCGAGTTGTATTAGCATTGCAGTTTGCAGGTAGATCTACTAATAAACAATGCAGCTAGCCCTCTATTTAACAAGTTGAAACATTTAGTAGGAGGTGTTTTATATGACGCGATATGATGTATCAATATACAACTATTTTATTGCAGGTCTGTCAGCAGCATCATCATCGTATATCCAATTTGTCTATTTTCTTATATCATTACCAAGGAGCCGCAATGTCCGACGAGTGAGTTGCTCTGCTTTAGTTTTTAATTTTTTTTATATAAATTGATTCAAACTTTTATGAATTTTTATTTCTTGTAATAAACATCTTTTGAGATAAGTAATATCATTTAAACTTTAAGGTTATATGTGTGCTTGAAAATGCTGACGTGTGGTTGGAAATCTGAAAGTTGAGCATCGATGTTGAGTCACTAATCGGGGCGCTAATAAAAACACTTTGAAGTAGTGGCAGTGCTCGAATGATGACATCATTGCCAGTTGTGTTGTGCAGTGAGAGGCAGTGCCTGATGACTGTACAACATTCGTCAGTTGTGTAATTAGTTGTCAGCAGGGAGGCATGTGATAATATCTTTTGCTTGTCAATTTGAGAATTCAGAAAAAATTATTTTAGTAATATTTCATCATAAAGCTAAACAAAACTTACTAAACTTCCTAAAACTTGCATAACTAAACTATAGCAGGGTGAGCATTAGGCCTATGCTTCAAAACATTAAACTTTTAAACCATAAATACATGAACAGCTGATAATTGCCTATATATATATATATATATAATATATATAATATATATATATATATATATATATAGTCTTACATTGTGTTTATTCTGATGACTTAGTAGACTTTTAGAAACGCACATGCTTCTAGTTTATTTATTTAAGCCTTTCAAAACCACAAGATTTTTGAGTACTTTTGTAGTACTATTGTTACATTAGATAAGTATTTGCAATCTATTTTAGCTAGTAGACCAACAAGCCCATACATTTTTCATAAACTATACATTTTTGTTGAAATTTAATAGTTTCAAACGTAGAAAAGGTTATTTGGTGTTACCATTTTAAGAAATAATTTTTAAATACAATTCCAACTTAGGTTTGATGGAGACTTCGACGGCGATTTTGATGAAATGGAAGATGACGTCCAGGATGAGATTGAGAATGTCGAGGAGAGCCAGGAGAACATTGAAATAATTGATTCAACGCAGGAGCAATCATCGCTGAAAGTCGATCCAGAGAAAAGGATGACGACACCCTACATGACTAAATATGAAAGGGCCAGAGTCCTTGGGACGAGAGCTCTACAAATTGCGTTAGTTTCCCATCAATTGAGATAATTTTCACTTTTTTTGCCACATCATAGGACTCATAAAGCGTGGATATAATATCTTGTCTTGCTGAAGATTATTTAAAATTTTTAACTTGATTTTGTAATGTAGGTACTATTATTTTACTCAGTTTCAGACACTAAAGTTTCGATATAAATTCATAATTGATTGTAGGTGAATTTCTAATCAGAACTTTTCTTAAGTAAGACCCAACAGAACGTACCTATCTGGGCGGATTCATTAGTCATCTGCAGTTGATCATTGAATACTTGCAAATTAAGAATTCAACTGCCAATTAGTCACTTATTTAATTGGCCAGTTATTAATTGATCAATTAATTTGTTAATTATTTGATTAAAAATGTAGGATGTGCGCGCCGGTGATGGTCGAACTGGAAGGTGAAATTGATCCCCTGGCAATTGCAATGAAGGAATTGAAGTACTCATTTGTTTTTTCTATGACTTCTCCCGATGATTTCATATGCACTTCTATTTTAAAATTTTTATTTACCATCAACTTGCTAATGCGATGAGAGTTAACTAATTAATCAGTTAGATGATGGCACAAAGATTGATTAACGAGTATATGGGTGGTCAGAAGTGTGGATGGGGGGTGCGTGATGAAGGTGAACAGGTGTGTGGGTGGGCATGGGCAGATGTGTAGGTGGCATGAATGGTGTGTATGGTCGAAAGGGGTATACTACTACTTACGACGCCAATCACGAACACATAAATTTGAAACAGGGCAAGGAAGATTCCGATCATCATCAGGAGGTACCTTCCAGATGGCTCCTATGAGGACTGGGCTATCGACGAACTCATCATCACGGACATCTAATCCACACTCACTCAATCTCACTGACCGTCCTTCGCTGCCATATCACAATTATCTACTTATCTACTACTCTTCTCTTTCTCTCTCTCTCTCTTATATATATATATATATTTGAAACAAACATATATATATATAGAGAGAGAGAGAATTTGTGTACATATAAATCATAATTGCAGTTGCTGAAATTTTGTGAAACTCTAGCAAGTTATTAATTAATTGTGATCGATAATATGGAAAAGAATTTTTTTTTTATCCGCGGAGTTTAATTAATCAGTATCAAATTATAATTAGATTCCATTAGAGTTGTGCTCGTTAGACTAAAAAGGAGATTTAATTAGAAGCTCTTCAAATGATGCGGCTGTGCGAGTAACTGACAATTAGTAACTTCTTTAATGTTGAGTTTGTCGTTGGGGAAGTGTTGGGGAGTTGTTGTACATTTGTACGACTTGAAATTGGGAATATTGCCTTGCCGGGTTGACTGCTCGCACTTGGTCAATGTACATCGTTATTGATGAGTATCGTTAATTGGAGTTGAAAAAACGTGGGTGCTGTTTGGAAGCTGAAAGTTGCACGCGGGTTCACATCCCACGTTCTAAACTTCCAAATTATTATTATAACTACCTTACATTTTTTATTATTTTTTTCAAAGTAATTATTATTTGATGGATCAAATTTAAAAGTTATTTTTTTTTAAGTTTAATTTAAAAAAGCTTTAAAAAATTTTGTAATTTGTTTTATTTTCTTTTTAATCTTATATTTTTTTAAATGTAGGGCTGGAAAAAGATTAAATATAATATTAATAATATAATAGTAATATTAGATTTGTTACAAATAAAACATGGGCTGCTGTTCAAAAATCAGCCAATAAATTTATCCATCTGTCGATGTTTTGTTGAGAAGTTTTTTTATGTAAGACTAAACGATCAAATGTTAATATTGATATTGTATTTCTCCAAATGTTAGTGGAGAAATACATGGATGGATATATATATATATATATATTTATATATATATGATCAAATATTAATATTGTATTAATAATTACTTCTTGATATAATAGCCCATCAGATAGATTGGACGAATAGATAACTTATTAAAGATAAAGAACGTATTTATGCTATGGTGTTTTTAATGACTGAAATCGATTATGAAATTTTATATTTTTATTATTTATTTCAATTTTATTATTTTTATTCTGGGACGGTGCAATGGTTAATTGTGCGTTGTTGATGCAGTGTCCGGGTTCGAATGCGGAGAGATTCCCGCTCGTCACGTGCAAAAGTGTGACGCGCTGATTCATGTGTGTTTATTTATGCACTGTGTGTTTGTTGTGATAACCTTTGAGGAATGTCTACGAGAGAATTATTTTTAGTTAATTAGTTTTTAATGTTAAATTGTAAAAGTTACATATTTATGATTGATTTTATAAAAAAAAACAACAATCCAGTTGAGTTAAATTTTGAACGAAATTGCTACCGAAACTGGTCAAAATTGGTAAAAATTTCGTTCTGCAACTTATGTATTCAGGCTATCGTTTAAATGCTAGAAAGGATTTTATCAAAAATTACTATTTAAATACTTTTCAATTATTAAAAAATACTCTTTCTTGTTTAAAGATAATAAAATGTGTACTTTCTTTCGTGGAAAAGCGAAAAAATAGTTTTTTTTATTAAAATTTCAAACACACCTCAGACTAAAAACCGCAGATATCGTTAATTATAATTAATAATTAATATTTAGGAAACAGGCAAAGTCGAAAGCAAATTAATAAAAAAATGGTGCTCCATCAAGCACGGGCAGCATGTGGGGTCGACTGTCTTGTAACTTCAGTGAAAAATTTCTTCATACATAATGCATATTTATAAATTAATACCGTAATTAATTTTTATTATCAGCTTATTTATTGTTTTAAGAGTAACATGCGAGTCTACTATTTTACGGAACAGATTCTTTAGAGTTCAATGAAATAAGAAAAAAAAGTTCATGTAAAACCTTGTATCTACTCACACTATTTTAGGCATAATAAGATTATTATTGGAAATAAAATGAGTTTGTTGTGCAGCCAACGGCTTAGTTAGAAACTTCTTAGATCTGAAGTTAGAAAATGGCAACAGGGATGTAGCGATAAAATTTGTTGAAAAAAACTGCAACTTAACTTGCCTACACAGGTTGATTGGCTCAGATCAAATTTCAGAAGAATCAGAATTAGCATAGGGTGGCGGCCTATTGCCTGCCCGGGCCGCCTGAACATCACACACACGCCAACTGCACAAAGGAGGCACGCACACAGGCACGTCTGAGCATGGACTGACCGGATCATGTAGGGTCCTTGCACGTTAAGTGTAAAAGATTCAAAATTTTAGTCGTATTATGAAAATACATCACATTTCGAAATGAACAAGCAACTGTTTCATGGAATGATTGTTTTGATCCCATTTCTCAAGACTGTATAATGTTCTGATACCTTTCGTAGCCATCAATCTTTATTATTTTTATTCAACTATCTACCTGCCCATTTTTATTCCTCCATCTCATCATATATTCATTTATTTATTCATGCAACTATATAGATATATTTTAAAATTTTGTTTCGATGTTTTGACTCACACGTCCCAGACCCACCATCACCGAAAGACTGTTGGACCCAGGAGTGGGAAATTTTTACCCGGAGTCGAAAAATTTTAAAACAAGAAAGGAGTCAAACACGGAAAAATATTTATCCAACGACTGAGACGAGACATCCCGCAACGAACTCCAAGCCACGTGTAAACGTAGCACCGGAAACAAACTCTTTATTACGTATGAAACGAACGTTACATGTAAACAGTGCAAGTGCATCACAATTTAAATTCAGACGAATGACGTCATCAAACATAGAATAATATTTTACTGCGTGTATAATAGAAAACGAACGAAGATGTTTCACGATGCGTGTAATGAAAACAAATTAAATATCGTATGAAAGAAATATGACAATCGAAATTAAAAAGATCTTCTTGGACACGAGGGAGTGAATGAATGAATAAATGAATGAATGAATGAGTGTATGAGATATTGCCCGGACGGAGTTAAAAACGTTGGATGTTGTTGGTGGATGGATGTTGTGGTGTGAAAGGTGAGCTGATGAAAGTAGTGGTGTGGATGGTGCGTATGGAAAGAAGTTGCGTGTGTGGATGGTTTTTGCGTGAAAGTCGTGATGTGTAGATGAGGGGTGAATGAAGATTGTGGTGGTGTGTATTGTGGAGGTTGTGGTATGTGGATGGTGTGTAACTGCTTCTCCGATGGTTTTACTGATCTGTTACAATTCATCTTTAGTCTGTTGGCCCTGTTAAATTTACACAAATGTGCGTGTTTGCATCGTTTGATGGGTTAGATACGTACCGAATATTCGGCCTAACCGAATATTCGGCCTAACCGAATATTCGGCCTAACCTAATATTCGGACAAAACTTGATATTTGGCTTCGGCAATTATCAGACCGAATTTTGCAATCTTCATGTAGAGTATCGTGTTTTTAGATTTCAGGGCAATAATTGATTACTATTGGAGAAAAATTTATTTTGGCTTTTATGACAGTTAAATTTAAAAATTATCTCGACAGAGAATTGTTGAATAAACACGATTCGCTTACTGCTTTCTTCGATGACTTGTTTTCATTCTAAAACATTTTTTTTTCAAAATTGCGGTTTTTGGCTTTCGGCTTCAATCGAAAAGTGGATCGACTACTTACCAAAATTAAAAAAAAATTACTCTATTCGGTGCATCTCAACTGCAGAAGCGTGCAGGCACTAAACGATTAATCGTCCAATCATTCAAAAAAATTATTTTCAGGTCAAGAATTGGATTGGAAGAATGGCGCACAATTAACTCATCACTGCCACGAGCATCATCATCACGCCACAATTATCACGATGATCAACGTTTCACCATACGATAACAACCATCATGACCATCACCACCCTCACCCTCACCACCACAACCCCACCATTACCACCACCACCACCACCACCGACCTCAAGGGGCACAACGTTGTTGAGATACTGGATAATGTAGTCAGCGTTTTGACTGTCAATATCGGCTCCATAGAAACTCTGGTGGTGGTGATGATAATGATAACGGTGGTGGTGAGGATAACGATGATATAATATGCCAATCCAATAATTCTTGGTATAATTTGACGAGGAACAACTTCATCACCAACAACATCAGCAAAACGTTAAGAAACCAACCACCAGCCACCACCAACCACCAAAGACCAGCGACCACCAACATCCGAATCATCACCACCACCAACAACAACAAACAACAATGTCGCCAAAAACAACTACATAACCAATATGCAAATGAACCTCTGAGGCGGGGCTATAATATCTGATTGACGGGTAGGCCTGTATGCCCGCCATCTGACACAGACGAGCGTTCTCGTCGCAGTTCACTTTTCCCGCCTTTACACGACCCTTCACTTCCTGGTAATGATGATGACCACATCAACAATGATGATGATGCGGTGATGTTGTTTTTCTTGTGTGATGATGATGATGACGACGATGATGAAGATGAGAATGGGCCTGGTGATATAAATATGAAGACCAAACAAGCAATATGATATCGCTGAAAAAACGACCAGCCAGCAATGCTTATGTACAATCAAGAGTCATCATCATCATCACAAACATAACCACCACCATTACCACCACCACCATTACCACCCTCATCATCATCATCATCATTATCATGTTCTCTCATCATCATCGTTCTCTTCTACCATCACCACCAACGTTTTCATCGTCATCAACATCACCACCACCATGTCATCATAATTACACCACCGCCACCATCGTCATCCTCACCATGGCAACTCTCTCAAACTCAGGAGCAAAGACCTGACAGTGGCCACACCAAGGTGCAAAGAAATCAATGATCCAGGGTCGAGAGCTTTTGAGGACCTGTGTGTTGGTGTGTGTGTGTTGTTTGTGGTTAGGGTGAGTTTGCTGGTGAGTGTGTTGGTGTGTGTGTTGATGTTTGTCGGTGTATGCGTGTTTGTGCGTGTCTGTTGGCGCGTGTTGGTGTTGGTGTGTGTGTTGATGATAGCCTGTTAGTGACTGGATTGGAAGCAGCGTTGCCATCGAGAGATTCATTGCTGTGCGTGTTATCTTCCACCTCACAAACGTCATCCCCAACTTCATCATCATCATCATCGTCGTCATTATCACCACATCATCTTCATCATCACCATCACATCATAATCATCATCACACCATCATCATCATCACACCATCATTTTCACACCATCATCATCATCATTACCATCACATCATCATCATCATCACCCCTCTCACCTTCTCCCTGAACTTGGTCTCATCGAGTTTGTGGGTCTTTGTGGGTAGGAAGTCGAACACCCAGGCCCTGATTGACTGTGCGTCTCTGTACCAGCCGTTGTACAAGCTGCGTGGGTGGGTGGTGCATGATGACTTAACAATCATTATTGATTCACTCTCTAGTAATAGTTCTCGGAGGATTGGAGTGTGTACCGTCTTGTAAATATAAACGCGTGTGTGTGTGTACGTGTAGCAAATAACCAGCCCAGGATTTATACCTGATCAACCAACCAAACAACCAACCAGCCAGCCAACCAACCAACCAACCAGCCAGCCAACCAACCAACCAGCCAGCCAGCCAACCAACCAACCAGCCAGCCAGCCAGCCAGCCAGCCAACCAACCAGCCAGCCAACCAACTAACTGGAAGATCTTGTTGTCTGCCCTGCCCTGAGGATAGAGCCTGATGGACGGGTAGGAGTTGACGTTCAGACTCTGACACAACTCCTTGTGCTCCTGACAGTCCACTTGCCCCACGTGCACGTTCTTCACCCCATCAAACATCTGCGGGCAGGGTCAAGGTGATACGATGTGGATGGTAGGTGTTTGCGGATGAATGTTTATTATCATTACCCTTCTCTTCCTCCTCCTCCTCCTCATGATCACCATCCTCATCATCACCCTCTTCATCACCATCATAATCATCATCATCACATCACCATCACCATCCTCATCATCACCATCATCATCATCATACCTTCGCGAGCCTCCTCCACTCAGGTTCCAGCTGCTGGCAGGGCCCACACCAGGGCGCATAGAAGTCGACGATCCACGTCTGCTCGAGGGAGCGTTGTGCTACAAGCGACTGGAAGGTGGCCGCTTCGAGGATGGTCACTGAAGGCTTCATGATGTCCTGGCGTGTGGTGTGTTGTTGTGTGGTGTGTTGTTGTGCGGTGTGTTGTTGTGTGGTGTGTTGTAGTGTGGTGTGTTGCTGTGCGGTGTGTTGTTGTGTGGTGTGTTGTAGTGACGTGTGTTGTGTGTTGTTGTGTGGTGTGTTGTAGTGCGGTGTGTTGCTGTGTGGTGTGTTGTTGTGCGGTGTGTTGTTGTGTGGTGTGTTGTAGTGCGGTGTGTTGTTGTTTGGTGTGTTGTAGTGTGGTGCGTTTTTGTGCGATGTGTTGTAGTGTGGTGTGTTGTTGTGCGGTGTGTTGTTGTGCGGTGTGTTGCTGTGTGGTGTGTTGTTGTGTGGTGTGTTGTTGTGTGGTGTGTTGTAGTGCGGTGTGTTGTTGTGTGGTGTGTTGTAGTGTGGTGCGTTGTTGTGCGATGTGTTGTAGTGTGGTGTGTTGTAGTGCGGTGTGTTGTTGTGTGGTGTGTTGTAGTGTGGTGCGTTGTTGTGCGATGTGTTGTAGTGTGGTGTGTTGTTGTGCGGTGGGTTGTTGTGCGGTGTGTTGTTGTGTGGTGTGTTGTTGTGCTGTGTGTTGTTGTGTGGTGTGTTGTTGTGTGGTGTGTTGTTGTGTGGCGTTAGTAAACGATAGAGAATGATAGTGAACCTGAATGAACTGAACGATCTCCGAGGCAGAATGGTGGCCATGATAATGATGAGGCTTCGTTAGGTTGTACAAGATGGTGGTGGGGTAAGAGTGCACGTTGTACTGGGTGGGTGGTGCATGGTGGTGGTGCATGGTAGTGGTGGTAGAAATGATGGCGATGATAATAACAATGATGATGAAAGTTATATTGCAGCATTAACAGTACTGCTGATGATCATGGTAACAGGGTGAACAACGACGGCGTACGAGACGGCGATGCGATGGCGTACAAAAACTGAGTACACCACGATGCGATGGGATTAGTTACTATTAAAAAACATATGAAAAAACCACTACATCACACGCATCACAAGCAATACACACACACACACACACACACACACATACACACATACACACACACACTTAACTTACTTACGTTCATACAGAGAGTGGCATGCACCGTGCAGTCCACAGTACCAAACTTGACAGACATGCCGACCATCCTGGAGGCCTTCCTGAACTCGGGCAGTAGCCTCAAGCACGGCGGACACCACTAGAGGTCGTGATCGAAAACAAAACAAATATGTACCATACAACTACCGATATATATATATATATATATATATATATATATATATATCATATAACCACAGATGTATATTCTAAAACCACAGATGAATGTCGTATAACTAAAGATATATATCTCACAACTACACACACACACGCACACACACACATATCTGCATCCGCAGATACATTTGCGGACACTTTGATCTACCGGCTCAATTTTTGCCTGCCAAAGCTATGCGATTTTTATAATAAAAAAAAACTTAGAGATCTACAAATCTTTACATCGCACACATCCCAATTCCATTACACCCACGAATCAAAATCAATAACCAAATTCTTGACACTCGACACAATGATGTCTTTCTCACAACATCATAAATTGACAGCATCCAAGGCCTCCAAAAGAAACAATATTTTAAAAGCACTCAGCAGCACCTCATTTGGTCTGGATAAGGAAACTCAACTACAGACCTACAAAACCATTGGTCGCTTCACAATCGAGTAGGCATGTTCTTCCTGGTCCCCGCTGACGTTCGACACCGGTTTCAACCTCTCGCCTCCAACGCTCTCGGAATGCTGCCCTTTGCCTGATCACAGGCTGCCATAAAGTCACGTCGAAGCAGCACCTGTACTCAGAATGCCAGATGCTAACCGTGAAGGAACATTCGGATCTTATCTTCTCCCAATTCCTTCAACAATGCCATAACCCTTGTCATCCGTGCCACATCTTCAAAAAACAGCCTCCATCCGATCGAAGCTTAAAGACCACCCTCTGTTCGAGATGGATGTAGACGGTAAACTCAGTGCTGCCATTCGCCATTGACTACGCCTCCTTGAAAATTGCCTCACTCATCCTTCATGGTAACGCCGCCAAAACCGCCTCGGAGTCATATATGGCGCCAGTGCTACTCAACGGATAACCTCCACAAATACCCTAAAATAGATAATCTGAATAAAGTTTGCCCAGGACTCTTGCCCAGCTCCGCCATGGCCACAGCATCTTTCTCGACAGCTACAAATCAAGAATCGACATCTGTCTCAATGGCTCAACAACATCTGTCCTTTTTGCCACCAACAACCAGACCATGTCTCCCATCTGTTCAGCTGCCTCAAGAATCGCACACATCTCAAAATAATAGATCTGTGGAGTAACCCGGTGGAAGTGGCAAACTGGCTTGGGCCTCGCCTGGAAGTCTAGGAAGGGCAACAACAACACACACACACATATATATATATTTTGTAATGGCGTCTAAAGTTAATTTGTCGGTCAATGAGATTTTATATTTCCCTATAAATAACATAAATTTACTTAAAATGAAGTGTTTATTTCAAATATTGTTGAATTTTACATTTCTGGCAATATTAATGCTGCGTTAAAAACTATAAAAATGACTTAGAATTGGTTAAAAATGGAAAGTTTATATATTTGGAAAAAACGTTCTGTGAAAAGCAACAAAAAAGAGAAAAAAATGCTTGATAATGTTACAATTGTTTTGCAATTAAACAGATATAATTTATTGGAATTTCTACCAACATATGTTAGTGTTGATTTTTTCAAAATTCCAAGAATGGAAAATATATTAAATGTATATTTCAATAAAATTAAATTGGAAATTAAAGAAATATTGTACAAGCAAGTAGCAGGGTTTTAGCTGCGACCGGGAAAATTAACAGGCAAAGGGTATGAATACATTGTGATAGCAGTGATAGACGCATGGCGGTAAAGCACGCAAAAATAGCAACCAATCCGCGGTATGTACAGAATTGTTTAAATAAACAGACCCGGGATGTTTGAAAAGAGGAGAATAAAGGATAATTCTGTTGGTGTTGGTGGAAGCTGGTCGGTCGTAGTTAGCGGTAGTTAAAATTCTCGAGGTTACGTCGGTGGTTGGTACGGTTGGTAGAAGCAGTTACGTCGGTGGTTGGTACGGTTGGTGGAAGCAGTTTCGTTGGTAGTTGGTATAGTTGATAAAAGCGGTTACGTTGGTGATTAATAAATTCCACAGTAGTCAGGGCAAACCCTGATACCGAATCGACACCGTCACTTCAGCAAACGTGAATCGACAACACGTTTAACAAGCTACACACCAATTCGGCCAACGTGAATTGACAGTGTGCGCAACAAACGACACGGCATTTCAGCAGCGGCGAAGTGACAGTCAACGAAGCCTCCGCCAGAAGTACCACAGACAACGTGACAGCCGGTGTCCTGTCCACATTCACAGTCATTGCTACATTTGACGAAAGCTTATAATTTTTATTGCTGGGAACTGTCGGTGAACCCTTACAAGCAAGAGTTGTACATAGCAAAACTAATAGAAAACATGAATGTTAACTATCTTGCCAGCAAACCGACCAGCGCACCTGAATATTATACGCGGGAAACTGTCCCACCAGCTAAACAAACTAAACAAAAGCGTGTAATTGACAGCAGAGTCAACAATAACAACAACAATTTCATCAGCAACAACAGCGGCGACAACAACGGCAGCAACAACAGTACTCTATGGGCGGATGTTGTGAGAACTCCTACTGAAAATATCGACCAACCATTCACAGCTGTCCAGTCAACATTTCAAACCAATGTCACATTAAAACTAGGCGACAGATGACGGATTTTTATATAGTAATGTGAATGTTCAGAAGTCAAACTGCTGCTTCTTGTCTAAAGATTCCAAAGAAAAATGGGTATCTGATTTTCCTGTGGCACATCAGACTCGTGCACAAAACATCATAAAAGAACGGATAGGACTTACTTCATTTGCAAAGCAACAGGTTTCAGTTGACAAACCTGAAATGTCTTGTTTTTCTGTATTCATTGGTTCAAAAATTATTGATCACACTGTGGAGTGTACCAATCAGGAAGGAAGCAGAGTGAAACAAAATTTATGGCGTGCAACAAGTCAACCAGAACTTAAAGCCTTTCTGGGGCTCCTTTTATTACGGGAGGTATATAAATCAACTGAAGAATCAACCGAAGAGTTATGGAGTGCTGATGGTCGTAGGGATTTTATTTCAACAATGAGTTACAATAAGTTAGCATTGTGAATGGAATAATTTATTACTAAATAATTTTTTCTGATTTTTACTTTCATATAGATTTAGAGATCTAAGAAGATTCATTCGTTTTGATAATAAAAATACTAGATCTCAAAGATTAAATACTGACAAACTAGCTGCTATGAGCGAAATATGGTCGATGTTTCTATATAGTGCTCAAGGGGCAATGGTACCAGGACCATTCCTCACAATTGATGAAAGGCTAGCTCCATATAGAGGTAGATGCAGTTTTATTCAGTATATGCCATCACAACCAGCAAAGTATGGACTGAAAATTTGGATGTGTTGTGATGCTGAAAACAAATATATTTATAATGCAAGCATATATTGTGGCAAAAATTTGGATGATGATAAGCCATGCAAAGATCTTGGAGGTAAAGTAGTGCGTCAACTCTTGGAACCTATTAAGTGTGAAGGTCGAAACATCACCACTGATAATTTTTTCACTTCTTTGTCTCTAGCAAGAGATGTTTTAAAAACAAAAAAAGCTACAATGGTTGGTACGGTTCGCAAAAATCGTGTAGAGTTGCCAAAAGAATTTGTCATTTACAATGGACGAGAATTGCATTATTCACTTGTTGGCTACAATGAGGTTGATAATATATGCATAGTTTCATACAAGTGTAAAAAAAAGTTGTTGTTCTTCTGTCCACTATGCATTTAACAAAAATAAATTTTGGCAAAGGTCCAAAAAAGTTACCAGAAGTTATTGATTTTTATAATAAAACCAAGGGTGGAGTTGATTGTGCTGATCAGATGATAGACACATACAGTACCAAACTGACACATACAGACGTTGGCCAGTGGTTATGTTTTGCAACATGGTTGATATTGCAGCACTTAATGTTTATGTCCTTTTTAATAAGTTACAAGCAGAAGAAACACCATTAATAAAACGCAGGCTTTTTTTAAAAATCTTGGTAAAAGTCTTTGCCAGGAGTTCCAAAGACATCATCAATCTAATGCAATTTGCCCCATTTTATTAAGAGATACCACATTGCAGCCATGCAAAAAAAGAGGCCGATGTTGTACTTGTTCTCGTCAGTTAAACAAAAAATGCACAACAAGTTGCACTTCATGTCAACAAAACGTTTTTTCTGAACATTGCAGAATTTTTTGTAAGAACTGTCTTCCCAATGAATGTCAATGAAACCTTGAAGAAAACAACGTTTTATAACTTATAATACTAACTTTTTGTGACAATATATATATTAAATGTTATATATTATATTAATTATTAAGGCAACTATTTCATTTAATAAACTATAAAAGATTTTGAAGTTGTTTTCAAAAAAATACATAATATTTTAATTGGGGTCAAAATCGACCCCATGCCCTTACATGTAAATAATTTTTTCCGCCCAATGAAGTAATCAAAATGTAATCAAAATGTTTCAAATTCATCTGATCCTAAATGTAACTTTAAATAAATTTCTTCTTTTAGTATCTCAATTATTTTAGTTTTGTTGAATGTCTACCATTTGAAATTATTGATGTTGTAAAAAATTTTGATAACTGTTATAGTTGTGCTAATGATTTAACTTCAAACTTTTTATTAAAAAATATTTTTCAAAGTATCTTATTTCCGTTGCTTCATTTAGTTAATTTATCTTTTAAAACTGGTCATTTCCCTAATTGTTTGATAATTTCTAAAGTTTTGCCTTTATTTAAATCTGGTGACCGTCATTCTATTAAAAATTATCGCCCTATTTCAATTCTTCCTAGTTTGTCAAAATTAATTGAAAAAATTATTTTAAATCGTCTTAATGAATTTTTAAATTGTGATAATATTATTTGTTTAAATCAATATGGTTTTCGTCATAAATGTCAACTGAGTTTGCTGTTTCAGACGTTATTAATTTTGTTTCTCATGCACTTGAATCTAAAAAATACTCTATTGGGGTTTTTATAGATCTTTGCAAAGCTTTTGACTCTTTAGATCACAGTATTTTATTGTACAAGTTATAATTGGTTTTCTTCTTATTTTAATGATCGCTCTCAATTTGTTTCTATTGGTAGTTTTATGTCATCATTGTCTCCTATTAAATCGGGTGTTCCTCAAGGTTCTATTTTGGGCCCTTTACTTTTCAATATTTATATTAATGATTTTGTTTACTCTTCTAACATTGTAAAATTTATTTTATTTGCTGATGACACTACTCTTCTTTATTCTTATTCGGATTTTAATGTAATTGTTTCTGTAATTAATTACGAATTAAATATTGCTTACTATTGGGTTGTTTCAAATAATCTACGTATTAATTATAACAAACATATTAACGCCAAACATTCGGTAGAATTTATAGAATATTGTAAATATATATATATATATATATATATATATATTTACAATATTCTATAAATTTTACCGAATGATTGGCGTTCGGTAATGCCAATCATTCGGTAGAATTTATAGTAGAATATTGTAGCGCCAATCATTCGGTAGAATTTATAGAATATTGTAAAAATTATGGTCTATTACCAACACACACACACACATATATATATATATATATATATATATATATATATATATATATATATATATATATTACCCAATTACAGACACATACATAAGCATAGATAAACATACACATC